AAAGAGTGTGAGAGAGGTAGAGGGAGACAGGAGGAAGCAAAGGTGTGAGGAACAGGATAACCATTCCGCAAGTTTCTTGCGGGTCTCCACTTGTGTATTTATAGTTGGGATTTTTGGCTCCAATGTGCATTATGTTGCACTTTCCCATGCTGAACCTCATTTGCCACGTTGATGCCGACTTGTCCAGCCTCGACAGATCCCTCTGGAGCACCTCACAGTCCTCCCTGGTTTTCACCACTTAGTGTCATCTGCAGACTTAGCTACTTCACTGCTTACTCCCAATCATTAATGAACAAGTTAAAAAGCAGTGGAACTAGTGGGGAGCCCTGCAGTACCCTACTGCTTACCATCTTTCACTGTGGAAACTGCCCATTTATACTCACTCTTTGTTCCCTGTTAATTAACCAGTTTTTAATCCACAAGAGGACTTGTCCTCTTATTCCATGAGTGAGGAACTTTGTCAAAAGCTTTCTGGAAGTAGCCCTGACCTGGATAGCCCAAGCAAGCCAGATCTTAGAAGCTAAGCAGGGTCAACTCTGGCAAGTACTTGGATGGGAGACCTCCTTGAAATCCCAGAGGCTGGAAGTGGGGTTAGGCTTTATTTAGCCACCACTCTGAATATCCTCCAGGCCCCCAGTAGGGGTCAGTCACCAGAGGTTGCCATAAGTTCCAAGTGCACACACATGCACATATTAAAAAATACCAAAAAAAGCTTTATGGAAGTCTATTGGGTCACCCTTGTCCCCCTGCTTGTTCAACCCCCTCAGAGAACTCTAACAGGTTAGTGATACAAGATCTTCCCTTACAGAATCCATGCTGATTTTTGTTCATCAATGTGCCTACTAATTCTATCTTTGATAACAGATTCCACCAACTTACCCGGTATCGACGTTAGACTGACTGGTCTGTAATTTCCCAGCTCTCCTCTGGAACCTGTTTTTAAGATGGGACTTATATTAGCTATCTTCCAGTCCTCAGGAATGGAGGCAGATTTTAGTGATAGATTGCATATTTTTGTCAGGAGATCCCCAAGTTCCCATTTGAGTTCTTTCAGAACTCCTCAATGTATGTCATCTGGGCTGGGTGATTTGTCCATTTTTAATACGTCCATCAGTTGTAGGACCTCCTCTCTCATCTCCTCAATCCAACTCAGGTCTTTCAATACCCTTCCCGAAATCAGCAGTTCTCGAGTGGGCAAGCACCTCCCATTTTTGACAGTGAAGCCAGAGGCAAAAAAAAGCATTCAGCCTTTTCCCTAACATCCTTTAGTAATCCTTTTACCCCTTTGTCATCCAAGGGTCCTACTGCCTCCCTGGCTGGTTTCCTGCTACTAATGAATTGATAATGGTGATTGATAATCTAAATCTAAACAATGGGACCAAGAAATTAGAATTATTTTGCCTTCTGTTGTGTAATGTGGCAGTTATGGTGTATGACTAGGATCTGGAAGAGCCAAGTTACAACCCCCCACTTTTTAATGTAAACTTGCTGGGTAACCATAGGCAAGTCACACACACCCAGCCTCACTTACTACACAGCTTTGTTGTGAGGATAAAATGGAGGAAAGGAGAATGATGTAAGACTTTTGGGTTTCCATTGAGGAGAAAAACAGGATATAAATGAAGTAAATAAAACAAACAAAACAATAGTTAAGAATGTACAGGTCTTCAGGTAGTTGGGTCACAATTCTGGGATTACGTCAGAAAAGAAAGGTTTAAACAGTTTCAGAAGTAATAGAAAAAATGCCTGCGATATCTACCACGAAGAATCTGGTCTGACAAAGCCAATATATCTTGTCCTTTTCCCATCCCCCAACCCCACATTAGACTCTGAACCAAAGCATGCATGCATGCACACAAACACACAGAGAATATAGGTTTGATCACACTCATTAGCACCTGGTGCCAGTGGTCAGCATGGAATGCTGAATCGTCTATAACACTTGCCTCCTTATGTTCCAACACTAACCCTATTGATGAATGTTAACAGAAGGCTCAAACAATGACCGTGTGCCAGATGCTCTTCTCCACATATTCCCAGATCAGAGCCAGCAATTACAAAGTCAGTATTAGGAGGTGGGAAGAGTGAGCTGAGAATCTCATGAGCCTGCAAGTTTTATTTTCTCCTTCCTCAGCAGTATGACAGTGTTAACCTGTTATCTTTTATTAACATGCTCATTTATTATAAGCCTAAAAACTATCTTGCTGGAATCAGAACAAGTCCAACAGAATGGTGGCCTACAACAGGAGAACAGCCCATGTCCTTCCTTTGCCCCTCTCGCAACTGAAAAGTCTCAAATGCCGCTCAAGACAACCAAACAAGAAAGGCTAAACATAGAAGCCTTAGGAAAACGTCCTTTCTCAGTTTCCCTCCTGAAAGTTAACATTCCTTCCCCTTGAGCTTACAACATTCCTCCCCCCTCATCCATTTTAGGCTCACAAGAAGCCTGAGAGGCTGGTCAGGCAGAGTGTATGTGTTATTGGCTCCAGGTCTCCCAGCTAGCTTCCATGGGAGAGTGGAGAACTGAAACAGATCCTAGTCCAGCGCTCTGACCACTACACAACACTGGCTGTCTGAAATTAGGTTAAGTTATGGCTAAAAGTAAGAGATAACTGGATATTCATATGGTTTTAGAGCATTTAAAGAGCTTTTAACACATTATGGCTACAATCCTAAGAGCACTTTCCTGGAAGCAAGGCCCATTGAATAAAATGAGACTCACTTTTGAGTAGATCTGTTTAGTATGGCTCCCATTATCTCAGCAGTCTCTTATTATCACATATTGGAGGAATGCTAAGGTGGATAATGGTTTCTCCTAAAGCAACACCTGAGCTCAAAGTAAGATACCTGTCAGTATTTTCTGGCTCACAGCTCACCCCTCACCACTATATTCATCCCCCTCCCAACTCCTTTTTTCAATATTTAATACATACATTTTAAAAACTGTTGCTAACTTGTGAACTGCTTAAGATACTAATATTCGAACCCCCTCCTCAACAGGTCGGTGCTCTTTAACATCCCCGGATGTCTCTGTCCTATGCAAAAAGATTTATCGCAGCAATAATAGAATTCGGTGATGCCCCGCTGAACTTACAGACTGGTCCAAGATGTTTCCAAGGTTCACACACCGAATTAAAGCGAAATACTTTTCGTTTAAGTGGTCTATGAAGCTCATCCCATGTTTGAAAGGAAGACTTCGCCTTAAAAATTCCAGACCACAAACGAATTTCAACTTCTGCCCAACTTCGCGTAATATCAACAATAGTGGTATTTATTCGGGAATGAGTTTCGGCTGGAGAAGGTTTAGGAGCCGCGAAGAACGAATATGTTCTTGTTTGCCTAAGGATTAAACCCCAGGAATCAATACCCACTCTAACCCAACTCTCTCACAGCAAATAGGGTCTACCAGCAGACACAATAGCAGCTGCTCCCTGCTCGGTTCTCTCCCCCACCCACCCACTAGCAATCTCCGCCTTCTCATTTCTCATTGGCTCACTAGGAATTTGGGGAGCCCCTGAGCTGGGCGTGGGAAGGCGGAGTCGGCTGCGCGCGCGTTGCATTGTGTGCGCCAGCCGCAAAGCAAAGGGTTGGCGAGGCGCGCGCTTGCTCCTGGCTGAGGAGTCACGGTAGCGGGCAAGGAGCAGCGCGCGCTCCCGGAGCCTCCCGCCTGGTGCAGGCACAACGCTGGCTCCGCTACAGGCAAGTCAGAGGCGGCGGCGGAGGAGGAAAAGGCGGAGGGAGCCCAGCCGGCGCCATGGAGGAGCTGAGCAGCGTGGGAGAGCAGGTCTTCGCCGCCGAGTGCATCCTCAGCAAGCGACTCCGCAAGGTGGGCAGGCAAGGCAGGCGGGACTAGCCTGCCCTCGGCTGGGCAGCCTCCTCGCCTCTCGCTAACGCGCCTATTTCTTTCTGTTTCCCCGCAGGGCAAGGTGGAGTATTTGGTGAAGTGGCGAGGCTGGTCTTCCAAGTGAGTCCGGACAATGAACCCAGCAGCAGCTGAGCGGCCGCCAGCCGTTGGGCTGAAGGAGCAAGGCGCGGGGGGGGGGCTGTCCATGGGCGTGGCTTTGGGGCTTGGAGACTTGGGGATGCTGGGCCCAGGCGAGCGTAGAGTTTGGGAAGGCAAGACGGAGAGGGCGACTGGGAAAGGCGACCTCCGGGCTGTTTAGGCTTAGTCGGAAGGGTCTCTCACTCCGGGGATGTTGCAACTTACTTTCGTGCTTGTATGAACGGTTTTCGTTAGGGAGGGAGAGCAACGTTTTCTTCCACAGGACTTTCTTTTGTTTAGCAGTAATTTCTTGTTATCTTCCTCACCTCCCCCCAAACTCCCTCTTCGGTCTGCAGTTTGCCTCTCCTTCCCATGTGTTGTGTTTCTGTGTTTCTCCTGCTGACCAGCCCATGTCTTGGCTGCTTTTATGCCCCTTTATAGTGGGAGCAGCAGCGAAGAGTGTGCACGAAAGCCCTAGCGCAGAAGTGCAAATGTTGCTGCCCTTGTTGTCTGTGGAGTCCCTTCTGAAACCTGAGATATCAATTGATGCGGGGGGGGGGGGAGTTGGAAGCCTAGGAGGGAACCTTCTCTGTTTACTCCTGCCAGCTGCTCTTGCAAACCAATTGTCTGTGCTTTTTTTCCTTGAGTTCTCACCTTAGGCCCCCAAGCGCACATTTGTGAGGTATCAATAATCTAGCCAAAGCTTTGTGTCTTTACTTGAGAGCCTGATTGCTTCCCCTGTCCATTAAGCAAATTTAACCTGCCATGTCACGAGCCATTAAATCCCCTCTTTAAAGGTCTAGAGTTCTAAAATTCCATCTTCCGGATTGTTTTTAATCCACTCTAAGAATGAATCTAGTAGTCTTCTAGTATAACTGCTCTGTACAAGATGGGGCAGCAGTGCTCAAGATCTGTCTAGGAAATGAAACCACTGCTAGCCATTAGAACATGTTTGGAGAAAAAGGCATGCAAAGCCTCAAAGTGAGGCATGTACAATAGTAGCTATGTAGTTCTTAACACAATTTAACTTATCAACTACTTTATGAAATTACTCTGTTACTTTTTTGCAGGCACAACAGCTGGGAACCTGAAGAGAACATTCTTGATCCCAGACTTCTGCTGGCCTTTCAGAAGAAGTGAGTAAACTAAGTAAGCAATAATTGTTGATAGAAAGTTCCTTTAGGTTGGCCACCTGGGAGTATGGAGACAGAACATGGAATGGCATATTATGTGTTCCTTGTTTTCCCCCTAAACTGAAACCTTTCCTTAGTTCTTAATCATGATGGGTTTTAAGGGGATGCAGTAGGCATGAATGTGCATGATGGTTGTTTACACACTGATTCTTAGTTTTCCCTATTTAGTACTGTATATTTTGGCTATAATTAAAGTATCTTTGTCACAATTTCTTTCTTGCATCAGTAGTATTCTCACGAGTAAGTGAGAAAGAGGCTATATGTAAAAATCCCTTAAAAGATTGCTAATCATAGTCAGTGTTCCGTGCCCCTTGGCGTCTAGTCATGCCGGCCACATGACCTTGGAAATGGAGATGAGTACCGCATCCCTAGATTCGGATTTGACTGGCTTTTGAGCAAGGGAAACCTTTACCTAATGCATAGTCAACTCCTGCCTCACCCTCCCCCAGTAAAAGCTTGGTGTTCATGACATAAGGAGATGCATCCCTGCATAGTACCTTCTTGTAGTGGGGTCTAGAAATGGCCTGTGCTGGTTTAGACAGCTTTCCATGCTTGTGAGGTTGTCTGCCACCTATGGTGGCTCTAGTCTTGTGCCTGGTTTCTCATAGCCATCAAACTGCTTTCCCACTTTGAAAGGGAGAGGGTAGTGAGAGCTGCCTCTATAGCATCTATAAGTGGCCCACCTCCTTCCCATCTGTGTGTAGTTACCACAATTAAAGATTTAGCTTGCTGCCTGTTTTCTCTTTGAGGGCCTGATCCTGCTTTTCAAGTAATCCCATCAGCTGGCTCTTTGGCTAGACAGCTTCCCTATAACATTTGCATTCCTATGAAATGTTTAGATGATTGCATTTAAGAATACTATATGCAGCTCTAGTTGTTATAATACAAAATACAGAAAGTAAAGTAACTAAAATTATTACGAAATTTAATCATTCTTGTGAAAGTATGCTTTTTAGTGTCTTAATTCTTAGAAGAAAGGTAATGACATAATAGAGACTTACAAGTCGTGCTTGGTATGAAGAGAATTAATTGCAAGGAATTATTCTTTCTCAAAACTGTGTTCTTGAAACTGACAATTGACTGGTGTCTGAAGACAGAATCCTGAGCTTAAGTTGTCTAGTTTTCCATGCCCAGTGCATTTTCTGGATGTTGACAGTGATGAGCATAGGTATGAGAATTTACAGATGTTGGGAACAGTAACAAAGAGAGCAGTAAAAACAAAGGTAGAAGACTAATCAGAAGCTTTGTTTAGATATTTCATGGCTATTATATCATCAAATAGTATCTAAATATAATGAACAAATAGCAAAAGAGGGAGGTTGATTAAGAGAAAACTGCCTTTTAATGTGTAATCATTGGATATTTAAAACATCCATTAGGAAAATGTATAAAATGTTATTGCAATTCAGCATGGTAACAGAGGCAAGTAAAAAATTGTATGATAAAAGGGATGCAAAACTTTGGAGAGAATATATGTGTGAGTCAATGGGGAAAACTATGGACTAAATGGTATATTAAGCCTTAAAATATTGCAAAAACTAACAGGATACACTAGGAAGTGTTGGAAATGCCAGAGTACAGATACAACATTCTATCATATATGGTGAACATATAAGAAAGCAAGAAAATATTGACTTAAAAATACATGAAGAAATGCAAAAGTTATTAAAATTCAAGTTTGTGATGGACCCTAAAAGTATGTTACTAAATATCATACCAAGCAATATTACAAAAACATACATTGAATTATTTTGACAGTGGCAAGGGTAACATTTGCTGCAAAATGGAAGGCAGAAAAATGTCCAGAATTGAAGGAATGGAAAAATAAGTTAAATAATTATGCGACAATGGCAAAATTAACATCTTGTGTACATAATAGACCTATTTTAGAATTTCAGGAAAAACTGAAAGCTTTTTTCAATTATATAGCTGGAAATCAAGACTAAGTCATTAAATTGCTAAAATAGAACTAGACAAATAAATAGGGTCAGGCAGTATATATGTAAAAATGGACTATTGGATATAAAGCATTTAGTGAAAGATGGAAAGAAGAATTATAATAGAAGTATAGAATAAGCATATATATATCTCTATAAAAATTCTGATTAGCAAACATTGAGTAGTTATATGTATATCTAGTTTCTATTATATCTGTGTAAGTTCAGATATTGTAGATGAGAGAGTTGTAGAAGGTCATAGATGATCGTCTATGTATATGTTTATATAAGGTGATGCCACTTGTATGATTGTTTGTTTCTTGTATGGTTGCAGTTATTTTTGTGTTAATGTTTTTTTAACAAAAAGCTTTTGTTTAGAGTGGAAATACGGCATCCGTTGATGATCAACTGTTGTGTTGTTGTCTTGTCTTTTCAGAGAACATGAGAAAGAGGTCCAAAATCGGAAGAAAGGCAAGAGACCAAGAGGCAGGCCCAGGAAAAATATTGTGAGTAAGGGGACTGCTGTGAGGCAGATGGAGGTAGAGGTACAATGCTTGGGGAGTAAGGAGAAGTGTTAGTATATTGTACATAACCTTCCTGAACCATAGGCTCAGACCTCCCATTGAGGCAAACAGGTAGATTAGAGGCAGGAATAGAGTAGTGTGCTTGATCCTGCTCTCCATCTGTATGTGTTACCTAGCACGTGATTACTTTAGGCATACTTGGTAATATTTGAGTTGTGTGCTGCAGCAAGGTTTCTCACAGCATGACAAACTTGCTTGGTTACTTGGAGTGATTTTTTGTCTTCACAGGCAACCGAGTAAGTAATAATGAGTGTGATTGCCACTGGAAACTTTGTTATTAAAGAATGCGGAAACGGTTTCCGAGATTTGAAGAATAGGAGGTCCAGATGGAATATACTCTTCTTGTTCCAAAATTAGTATAATATAGCCTTACATAAAACTAACTCTTTAATAGCAGAAAGCTAATGGTGTACTATAAAGCAGTTCTATTAACTAAGCTGTTTTAATTTACTGTGGGTTACATCACTAACAGTATAATCCTAAAGTTATACCCTTCTAAGCTATTTATTGATTTACTTACTTCATAGTCCACCTTTCTTGTAGAAACCCAAGAAGGTTTACAGAAATTCATTTCATTAGACTTGGGTAACTCTGCTTAGGACTGCACTGTAACCGTTCTCCAAAATCCTTCACTGCTACTGAAGGATCAGATCCTGTTAGAGTTGCCTCACTCTTTGTTCTTTAACTTTGTTTTCAAAGGAACCTGAGGTGCCACCAAAGAGCAAATCCAGCAGTTCCTCTTCATCAACCACCTCTTCATCTTCCTCTTCAGAGGAAGAGGATGAAAGTGACATTGATACAAAGCGAGGCCAACGGAGTAGAGAGTGTCACCCTGTGCCACAAAAGAAAGCTCAGATTCTGGTTGCCAAACCTGACAACAAGGATGCTATGAGGAAGAAGCGTGGACGGAAACCAATACCTCCAGAGCAGAAGGTGGTGAAGAGGACCATCAACCTAACAAAAGTGCTGAAAACTAATCGGAAAGAGATGGGGGGAGCAGGAGGTCCCAAGCTGATGGGCAAGATACAACCACAACACAGTGCTCAGAGTTCTGGCATTGCCATGCTTAAATCCCACATGAAGGAAGCCCAGGGTGCATTCGGTGGGTTTTGCTCTGGAGCATCTTCTGCTGACAACCTTTCTAATATTGTGAAAGGTAACTCACCTGGAAGCCCAAACTGTGGCATCAGTTGGCAGAGCTCCATTGTACATTATATGAGCAGAATGTCACAGAACCAGAGCTCGACAGATGCTTCAGCTGTAGGAAGGCTGACACTCAAGTCAGCTGTGTCCTGCAAGAGTGGCATAGGACTGGATTTAAAACTGAAAAACCAGAAAAGTGCTGGGGATCTGGAGTTGACTGTACAAGGGTCCAAAGTGACCAAGAGACCTAGTGGCAGTGCATTGGGGGAACAGAAAACAGGGTTTGGTGCTGGTGCTCAGAATTTGCACAATGGTAACAAGGTTCCTGTCAGTTCGCCCAGCAGCCATCTAGCTTCCAATCAGGAGCTCAACCTCCAAGCTTTAAATCTACAGAGTGTGAAAAACGGACCAAATTCCACTGGCGGGAGTATCCTTCCACGGCCTGCTTGTGGGTCAGTGGCCAATAGTGCTGGCAGCACTGTAGCTGTGAGCACAGCTTTGCCCAAGAGCAGCGGGCCAGCCATTGGACCAAACACTGCAAATTCAGATACAGATGCTCACAAAAGTGAGAAGCCAGCACAAAGAACAGCTACCAGTGAGAAAGATCTGACAACAAAAAGCACTGCCACAAGTGCACAGGAGGGATGTACCGCAGCAGAAAATCACAAAACATCAACCCTGTCAGAAATGAGCACTGGAGAAGAGGAAACTAGCTCCGATTCAGACAGAGATTCTGCTTCTTTCCCTGGAGCAGGCCAGAATATGTCTGTCTCCATCCAGACTAGCCAGGATTGGAAGCCCACTCGCAGTCTCATTGAACATGTCTTTGTCACAGATGTGACAGCTAACCTGATCACAGTGACAGTCAAGGAGTCCCCAACCAGTGTTGGCTTTTTTAATCTTCGACATTACTGAGATGTGTAGGGGTCAAATTTTTTTCCCCACCTTTTCAATTACTCTGTCTGACTGTTGTTTTGGATGCCAAAAGGGGAGACCTAACCTGGCTGTGCTCACCCTTAATAAGCTGTGTTCTAGTAAGTGGTGAGCCTATGTTGAGAAAGTGTACATTTGTTGACTGCGAGAGCTTGTGGCTTCTGGTAGTCTAATCTGTGGAAACTCCTTGAAGACTAGACAGCTGCCAAAAAAAAAGAGGCAGGGCTGAGGGTTCTTTCTCACAAGGATCGGCTTTAGTTGGAAACAGCCAATATAGAGGAGGCTTACTAGCTCAAGTATTATTGTACTTGGATTTCTTAGCTTTATGGTTTGAAATGGCAGAAAACTGAGTATCCGGCTCCCTGGTAAGTTTGTGGGGAAGGATTCTAAAGACAAACTTTTCTGCTATTACATTGTTTTATCCACAGAAACTTATCCCTCCATCAAATAATCAATATCTGAACCTTTTGAGCTTGGGACAGTGAAACCCAGTCTAAACTTGAATAAGAATCTTAATGTTTAGGTGACTACAAAAGGACTCTGTGAAATGGGAATATTGTTTACACTTAGGTCTGCTTTGCTTTGGAAGATAAAGGGAAGAGAACATTGCCCTCAGATCTTTGCGGGGCCGGACCTAGAAACTGTAGGTGCTATTGGCTATAAGGTGAAACTGTCTATTTACTGTTTCCCATGTCTCTGATCGATCATTTGTCCTGGTAGCATCAGTGCTATCTGTTAACCCTTGTACTGGAGCATTCAAGAAATTGTTTGGGGGGGAAAGTCTTGGAATGCTCCCAGAACAAAGTCCACCCATGACATAGCAAACTTTCACCTGCCAGGTGCCAGCATTCACTCCCTGCCTTTCTCTCCATTCTCACCTGTGTTGTATACACATAAACATAGACATGTACCTAAGAGACATCTAATGGAAAGTACTTCTGCTTATGGTTAACACCATCACTTAAAACGATGATGCGTACAGGGGTTTTCCATGCACGGTGAAGGTTTATATATAGGCTACATGATATATCTTACACAGAAATAGTATCCCTGTTGAAATTTTGTATGTGAAGCAGCCTTGAGGTTTTAATGCAGAGGAGGCTATACAAACATGCCCTCTCCGTGCAGTGTGGAACTGCTGTAGCTGCCTCATCTGTAATAAAAGATAGTAACAGAATCTTGGGAGCAGAGGTGGGTCTGATGAGAATTCAACTTAGAAGGGGCAAGTGAGATAGAATGCTGTTGATGTATGCTGACCAAAGTAAGTTGGACTTTTAGAGAACAGTCTCTATCATACTGACTCTGTCACATGCGCCCTTACTTCCAGCTTAACCACAAAACATTCCACACTGATACTCTGATAAGAAACTTTTTTCTTTACTGAAGTGTTCAACTGTATATAGGTATTGTCACAGTAAACTCACAATATAAGACCAAGGCATACATCAACCTTACCTTAGTGGCAGTGCATAAAGCTAGAAAAAAGCTAGGTTGGAGGGCAATCCGGCACCAAAGTCTGTGTTGGGCCTAGGCTTTCTTGAAGACAGGTTGTGACTCCGTTTGGGTTTATATTGTTTTTCCCATTTCACATGTCTCATTGGGGCCAACCATTATGTTCCAGGTTTGGACTAGCACTGAGCAGCAAGTCTAGCTCTGTCAATCTTGACAGTGTTCTATAGCACTCCAGATGGATCCTCTCTTGCTAACTTAAGCAGGGCTTCAGTATGCTCTTTGCATGGATTCCCAACCCATAGTTTCCTCACAGGGCAGCTCTGTGCTGCCACATAGTCACCTAGAAACATCAATTGGTGGGTACCTCTCTTATACCAGTAACTTCCCCTAAAGTAGATTATCAAACAAAAGAGTAGTGGAAGACTGGGAGTGTTACAGGTACTGACATCAGGAGTCCGGAGTTCTGCAATAATGCTGTTTAATAAGATTCCCTGAGCTCTGTTTTATTGTTCCATCTTGCTGATGCTTGTTTATTTACATTGGTAGATGGCACTGTACTAGAAGCTGCAGCATGCTTGGGAACAGGGAATGCCAGAATATTGTGCCTCCAGACCTTAATAAACTGGAAATACATGGCCAAGTTTAAGTATAGTTGTATGGATTTTGCAATAAAGAGTGTGTTGTCCTGGAGTGACTTCTACAAACAAATATTTGATTGCCAAGAGGTGTTGTGTGCTGGGTCCGTCTGTCCTGAACAAGTTTAGTGCATGTTGTGCTACCCAGAAAGTGTAGCTTGCTAACTCTGGGACCATTCTCTTTGGATTCTGTTAGAAAACCAGTGGCTGAGCCTGTTGGTTTCTTGCTTTCTTTGTCCACGTTTTCTTTGGAGTTCATGTAGTGATAGTATAAATGAAGGGGAGGCTGCCACACAAAGAGAAGGTGTTACTCTGTTACTGCTACCTAAGTAGATATTCACCTCAGCCTGTGATCTTGAGTTTGCTTACTTAGAAGTAAACTTCACTAAAACTAATTAGATTTGCTTCTGAGTGGTTGTGTTTACAGTTGAGGTGCAAGTTTCCAATGATGCACTGAGGATCTAAGAGCAGCTTGGGTAAAAATTCTGGTGGTGGTTCCTCATAGTCCTTTTGCTCTGCAGGACTGTGGAATAAGGTGATGGAAGTAGATTATAGCTTTGGTTCCCTACAAAGTTGATGCATTGGACCGTATTTGCAAGAGCCGAAAAGACGAATTCAGCATTCTTAAGAGAACAGGTTACAACACCTCACCCAGGGCAGAGAATCACTGCTTAGCACATTGCTGATGACATACCTCCTTTTGGCAGCATAACAAAGTAGCATCAAGGAACTTCGGCCAGACCTCAGCAAACAGCTCTTTTGTTAATATGTTAGAAGGCCATGTCATTTGTTCTCATGTGCTTTCTAGATGTGACAGTTATGCTCACTTATAGACTCAAATGGAGCAGAACATTTAATTTTGAATGCAGGTGTACTTTACAGGGATCTGTGTTCCCTCCCATTCATTCTTCTCCAGTCAGATGTCCTTGTTCTATGTCTAACCTCCCCTTTAGTTCTAGCTACACTCTTGCCCTGTGGGGTAGAATGTCTGTTTCAGGGGACATGGATTTCTGTTGCAAAGTTTATATGGGGTGAACAGCTGTTTTGCCTGAGATTCAAGTCCTCTGGGGCCATGTGGTCTAGTTTTTTTCTTTTAAGCAAAGGATCAATCCTTTTCTCTCTCTGGTTGCTAAAAATACAATGTTGATGCTTCTTTCTACCTGTTTAAGTTCAGGCAGTTCTCCATTTGGGATACTGGATAATAAAAATCCTTCAGTTCTAAAAAGCTCTTGGCGACGCCTGGCCCAATTCAGGCTTGGAGTTCAATTTGCAGTAAAATGGCTTTTTTGGGTAAATTTGGCTAGTCTTTTGTGGTAAACTGAGGAACTTTGACTGCTATCTCATTGTCGTTGTCCATCAGATGTTTGCTATGTATTTGGCCTTTATGAATCTAAATCCCTTTTAACACTTCAGTGTGCCTTTTGGATGGAACAGTGTGTTTGCTAGCAGCAGTTTTGTGTTTTTTATCCCAACTGAGTGAGTATTAAGGTCCTTATGAAGAGACATAGTTCTGAAGCAGAGTAAGAGGAAAGACTTCATAATATGCTAGTGCTTAGCTAAATTGGCCTGTTTGGCTAATAGAGCTGACAGCTGTCTGTTAGAGACATGTGACCCTCCTGCTTTGTTGAGGCCAGCATCTTTTCACAAGGAAAGGTCTTGTGCTGCTGGACTGGCTTCTAATGAATTAAAGGGATTTGTTGCTGGTTAGAGGTAAGAGGTTTGTTCATACAACTGAGAATGCACGAGTGGGTACTAGCTTTTCCTTTACCCAGAAACCCCACGGTCATGAATAAAATCTCTTGGGCCCTAACTTTATTGTGTGTGTGTGTACCTTGTTATAATGAGCTTTGCAGTGTTTCACTAATATATTTCAGTTTTGCTCTGGTGTATTCTTTCTTACTGACCAGGCCTCTGTGTAGCTGTTAGATTTCTAAATACATTATTTTTCCACTTTTAATTTTAATGTGCAGCAGCTTCCCATTATTCAGGGATGCTCCTACCTTTTTCAAACCTTTGCACAAGTTGCTTGGGATTCTCAACTATGATATTTCCCTGTTCCTTTGGGAAACCGAAGTCTGATACCCTTTCCCCTAAAGTTCTAATGCTGTGCCTTTCTGCTTAATCAGCTATTTCAATTCCAAAGTCTATAATCTTGAAAATACCTTGCTAACCAGTAAGGTGAACCACTTTCTGACAACTGAATTGACATTGGTGTTTGGTGTATAAAACTGAATGGAAGATTAAAAGAAGGGGGGAAATGAAGCTACCATCTTATAGCCTAACTGTGTATTTGAATTCACAGTTAAAATTTAAAAATCTGTTCTGGGCAAATGGTTCAAACGGATGCTAACCATATTTACTAATTAATAAAATTAGTATTCAAAGCCTACCTTTATATTTTTCTTCGGTTTGCTGCTATGTGTCTGAGTGTTCTAGTTGTATGGCAAACAACTGGCTAAAGTTCTGTTGCTACTCTGCTCAATTATTGAAGAGGTTTGGGGGGGATGTTTTGTAACTAAATAGTGCTGCAGTATTTGTATATCAAATGGGTATTTTTTTTTTTGTCTTGGAATAATTTAGTGGCTCTTTTACATTGACTGGAATAAATGCTAAATACAGTCCACTTCCATAGAATCAATATGTACAGTATCAAAAAACACAAAAAACACAAACCAGATTTACTGTATCTTGTGTTTTATTCTGATAGACTAATAATATTCCGTGTACTCAGTTCTGAGCAAGAGAAATTGGTTTCACAAGAAGGAAACTTGTGTAAATTGGTTCAGTGCTCCTTGTAATATGTGTCAATCACTGTGTGTTTAATTTTTTAAAAGCCAAATAGTTCCTGTATGACATTTTCTAATTGCTTTAACTAGAGCTGTTTCTTTGCTTTTA